ATACCATGATAAAATTTGAACGTGCACCTTGTCTCTACACCTACGGATGCATCTATATGCCAACTGCACCCTATATATATATATATATATATATCAAATGATTTCCTGCGATTATTCCTAGTATGGAATGAGTCAATCATCCATTTTGGTATCTTATTGAACCAAAATCGTGTTATTCTGTTCCTCCATTGATCAATAATTTCGATCTTTGGGAAGTATCATGATCATCTAATAAGAAAGGTTTCAATTTGTGATTCTAAGAACTGAATGCAGAGTTGATCATTCGGACCTTTCAATTCATAGATGTGGATCTCGGGCCTATGAATGGGGAAATTCCCTATATTCACAAATAAAAAGGAAGTGACTTACATAAAAAGAGAAGTGACTTGGACAAAAAGAAATGAAGTGACTTCAAAAACTCACAAATCACCGTAAAAATATTCCAAATGACATTCATTTTTATAGAGTGGATCCATATTCTTATATATTCTTTTACAATTTTTCAAATTAATTTAGGTTGCCCAAGTCAGACCCGAGCACTCAGCTGGTCAAGGAGAGGAGGACTCGGTCGAGTTTTGAATCATTGTTCCAAAAAGATAGAAATTTGAAGTTCATAGACAACCATGGAAGAGGAAAAGAGGAATATGTTATCTCATATCATACAGAGAATCATAAGACAGCTCAAAATTAAGCCATAAAGAGCAATGTAATAAATGTACCAGGAGAATTGGGCTGCAAAAGTCTGCTGCTGCACAGAGCCTGTGGTTGGGGGGGCTGAAATCAAGCAAACATGTAAATCCGTAATTAAGAATTCACAGTCCTAAGTATTTCTAACTACAATAGTTTAGAGAGAGACTGAGAGAGAGAATTGTAGGTAAAATGTAACATTAATTGAAGAGAGAGGAATTCCATGTAGCTATCGACACGGAAAGAGATGTAAAGAGTAAAGCATGAAGCTGAGCTAAACATCAAGTAAAGGAACAGGACATTCTAGAGAGAGAGGGCCAAAGCTTACCATCAAATGGAATCGCCAGTCTACCAGTCTAGCAGCCATGGAAGCCAGGCTCTAGAGAGAGAGAGAGCAATGCGACCCCAAGCAACGGAGCCCCGACGCTGAGTTAAATGTGGCCACGAGAAAGAGGAAGGGGTGTAAGTCGCAATGTGCCTTATATGTGGGAAAACATTTATTTAAGGTTTAAAAATGTAGAATTATAGGTGTCTCAAAAATCCATCACAATGTTTGGATGTTGAAAAACCCTATCTAATTGACTATGTATGAATATGAAATAAAAAATATATTTTGTATTCGTTAAATAGTATATCTTGTAACGTATTATTTAAATTATTTATTTTTAACATCTTCATGTTTTTAGAGTTTAAAATTTTATAATGAGATAATAAAATAGATTCTCAAATCATCCCAAAACTTTTTAATATCAAATTTATATTTGCGATCAAATTTAGAGGTGCGCCTTGGATTGTTTAGAGTGCCACCTTATGGCAACCACACCCTTATATTTACAAAGCGGAGTAATTATTATACAATATGATCCTGCGGCACCCATGCTATAAGTGCTCATTTATATCAGTTTTCGTTTGGGTTCCACTCTCACGTTTTTAGCCAGGAAGGAAAGAAACACAGCACGTACACTGTGCTCCCTCGGGAGCATAGTTTGCTTCAACTCCCTCGTCAAAAGGCCTAGATACTTTTTTCAATTTGGGGAACTTCTCAAAAATTAGTAGATAAATTTTTTAAAAAAATCAAATTTGAATCCCATTATCTAAAAATTGAATAGTCTTGATGCAATCTCAAGACATTATTTAAAAAAAACATGGACGTTACAATTAAGAAACTTTTTTTATTGATACTTGAAGAGATTACATCCTAAAATTCGAGGTCCTAAAATTAATTCTAGATAAAGTTTTACAGTAGGGAGTAAAATGTATTTTCGCTTTTACTTATGAAAAATGGTTTGATAGGGCTGCAACTCTATAAAAATAAGCAAAACCTCAACTCATAGTTCATCAAAAGTTACAATTTAAGTATTGGAAAACCTTTACCTCGATCATCTCGGTTTGAAATATTAGTCGTAAAAAAATTAAGATTTTAAGCTCTAAAAATTGTGTATATTATAACAAATTATCTAGACCATTCAGTTCACTCTAAAATTAAGTGTTCATAGATCCGCAAGATCTATACTATTTTTTTAGTTTTAAAATTTATTATCGGTGTTGGAATTAATTTAAATACATCATGGAGATTTATGTTGCCGAATGTGATTTCCAAACGAGGATTTGAGGTGAGGCCTTGTTTTCATAAAGCTTAGGCCCTATAAAAACATCATCCTTTAAAAAGAGAAATCAAACTTCAATCCCATCATCTAAAAATTGGCTGGTCTTTATTCAGTCTCAAGACATTATTTGTTAAATTAGATGGTCTTTATTCAATCTCAAAACATTGTTTGTTCGAGTACATAGAAGGTACAATTAGGAAACTTTTTCTATTGATGATAATCTATGAGTTGAAATTTGAGATCCTACAATTATTTCTAGGTGATGTTTTATATAAGGGAGTAAATGGACATTCTACTCCCCAGAGTAGAATAGTTTTTGGCTTTTATTTATGGAAAATTGTTTTATGCCACTGGACTGCATTTCTACAATATGCAGTCTCAAGGTATAAAGCATCCATTTTAAAGATGGATGAAAATAGGTAGTCCATCTAACGGTCCAAATGTTTTCTTAGTAGAATTCTTATTTCTAATTTTTAAATTTTATTTATTTTTTCATATTCATGATCTCCATGTTAAATATTACATGTCCTTAAAAATTAGGGTGCAGTTGGTATACAGATGCATCCGTAGCTGTAGAGGTAAGGTGCACCTTCAAATTTTAGCATGGTATATAATTTTGATGTAAAATGTTCTTAGGATTATCTTAAAATCTATTTTTATATCTAATTATAAATTTTTAAATTTTAAAAATAGTTAAAATCAAGTAGATCTATAAACATAAGAAAATCTTGAAAATGGATGGTGTAGATAATATGTTGTAAAATGCATTATTTCTGAGACTTAAAATCTTGTTATTTTTCATAGTCATACATCTTGATGTCGAGATGAACAATCAAAGGGTTTTTCAAACATTAAAACTACCTTTTTCGATGGATTTTTGAGGTGCATTCGTAGTTTTACATAATAAGGTTGTATACTTACATAAATTTTTTTCAAAAAATTAAGTCAAATATCCACCTAAAAAATAGATTTTTAAGAGGTGGCTCGTTTCTACATGGACTAGTGGAAACCGTGTCGTTTACTTATCAGCAGTCCGGAAAGTAATATCACAGGCTTCTTATTGGGCCACGCAAAACATGAAGTTCCTGTGGTGTATTTTAGAGAAGTCCATGGACGGTTTTGATGGAGAGTTGATGGAAATGGACGGTATAGATTATGCAGACACGAGAAAAATGTTGCTACAAAGGTAGTCAAAATGACGGCATGCGATATATGTGACAGCCACGTGACAACATGTTGTTGTGGTAATGAGGCTCATCACCGGCCAATGAGTACGGCAATAGCCAGGATGGTACCTACGATCCAAATCATGCGACGGATGGGGATCCAAAATACTAAAAGCAAAACGGTTTGCTAAGACTGCAGCTCTATCAAAAAAAATAACGACCCGTTTCTATGCGGCCAAGCCCGCATATGGCATATGTAGAAATGTGGGCTTTTTAATAAATATATTTTTGAGACTGATTTTAAGACTTAAATTTTAAGGATATGTAATATCTAACATGGAGATCATGAATATGAATAAATAAATAAAATTTAAAAATTATAAATAATAATTTTAGTAAGAAAACATTTAGACCGTTAATTTTTATTGTTTTTTAGATGGAACATCCACTTGCATCCATCATTAAGATTGATGCTTTACACTTTTTGGACCACAAATATAGAAATGCAGTCCAGCCCGTATGAAACAATTTTCCAATAAATAAAGTTTCACCTTGTAACTCATCAAAAATTGCAATTCAAGCATTGGAAAATTTTTACAACAAGCAACTCGGGTAGAAGTTGTGAAAAACGAGAGTTCAAACTCTAAAAATAATTTATATGCAACAAATTATCTTAGACAGTCCATACTGTCCGAAAATAATTGTTCAAATACCCGCAAGATTTGGACTTTCTTTTTCAAATTTTAAATTTTATTGTCTGTGTTGGAAACTGATTTTAAAGCCATAATGGAGATTTTCATTGCCGAAAGTGCTTTACATATGAGGATTTGAAATGAGGCTTTATTTTGTTTTCATAAAGCTAAGGCCTTATAGAAACTTCATTCAATACTAAAAACCAAAGAATGGGCTTAAGACTTGGTTGTCTGAGCAGTAGAGCACATGTATTAAAGGCATATTTGTTTCGTATAAAATTATTTCCCATACGAAAAAATTCCTTCATCTAAATACATGAAAGAAATTTTTCACGTGAAAATATATTTTCACACGAATCAAACATACCTTTTAAGTTCTATTTTTATCATGGGTAGGGGACCTTCCCACCGAACTTACCAATAAAAAAGTACTGAAAACCTAATGATTCGTAGGAGAGAAATTAACATAAAAATATTTTATCATACTCTGCCATGGATTCCCTCCCAAGCATGAAGTATCCTAAGGTTGGTCCACCCTTCGTGACCTATTTTCCAGACATAGGCTCCTGGGCCCAGTGTTAGCATGTAGATTATCTAATTAAGCTTCTTAAAAAAATGTCAAAATTTCATATTACGTTATCTGTGCACTTGAAAAATATAATGTCTCAAAGATTAAACAGATATTGTGCAATTTTTAGAGGATGAGGTCTCAATGTTAAAAAGCTTAAAATTAAAATTTTCTATTTTGAAAATAATTATCTAATTATTGTTATGTGATTCCCAAAATTTTAAGTAAAAAAGCACTCCCAAGTAGGTCATCTACCTGAGGGAGAAGGTATATACTATGCTCCGGCAGGATCATAGTATATGTGCTCTATAAATATTATGTGTTCTTGACAAATGCCCTACATTTATAATTAGAAACCAATTTAAAATATACAATATAATTCTATAATTGAGACAGTAATTATAAACAATGTTATTAAAAGACTGAGCATTTTTTAAAAAAATCAAAACCAAACAAAAAAAATCAAATTTATTAGAAATAACAAAAAAACCCAAAAATTATTAATCATTGAACATAATATTTATATAGTGTTTACAAAAGAGATTGTACACTATGAGACAATATTTATCTTTATCCATATGATTTCAATTTGGATAGCTTAGAGCGTGTCACAAAGTTCGAGATTTGTTTCTAGAAATTTGACCTAGTCAATGAGACAATCACAAGTATCAAATTTGAAATCCAACAAACAAAAGCGAATGTGTCATTCTTATACCAAAATTAAATGGTATAATTATCCTTTACAAAAACCACAACAAAAGTAAACATAATGTGGTCATCGACATGTGGTTTTTGCTTGGTGGAAATAAAATCTTTTCCTCATAAATCTCGAGAATAGAAATAAGCTACGTGAGTATAATCGATGTTATGGATTGAATGAAAAAGAAAAAAAAAATTGCATTTGCTATAACTCCATTCTTTTCTGGCCATCAAAAGATGCTTTTATTTTGTTTTTTATTTTTATCTAGTTGGCTTGCTTTAGCACCTGGAATCTATCCATCTTCATAAAGGAGCCAAATGAAACCAAAGTTTCACATTCGATTTTGAATTAGGAAAATTAAAAATAAATTCTAAAATCCAAAGGAGAATCATGGCCAAATGTAAAGATGATAGAGTAACCATTATTTTAGAATGTACCAATTCTATTCCAAGTGGTACTAATACTAAGAAGGAATCAACATGCATTTCTCGATACTAATACTAAGAAGTGGTACTAATACTAAGAAGGAAGTGGTATACTAAGAAATGGTACTAATACTAAGAAGGAAGGGTTAACCGGACATGGCTCGGAAGTGGTTTACCTAGACTAATTGATAAATCGGCTGATGCAATCGTTCTAACCGGGCAAGTCTCGAGCGGTCAAAAAAATGTTAAAAAAATAAAAAGATACAAAAAAAATCTACTAAAATATGAAAAGCATATAA